GCTGCCGTTGGGTGATGACGGCAGCATGGCATGAAGTGCTATGCTTGCCGTGGTATTGCGTACGTGTCCAGGTCGAGATTCTTCGTTCTTGCGTCCGTTAGAAATATCGTTATGAACGTACGCTAACATGATGTTCATTGCTTGCGATCCAGGCAGCTGGCCTTCCCTACTACCCGCATCTCTACTTGTGCTTCGCAGCTAATTCATCGTGATCAGCATTGCTGGCACACCGTCGTGGCCACCAAAATGCAAAGTCTACCCCTTTCGAAACTGTGTCCTTGATAGCATGATCACTTTCGCGAGCTCACTGTCAAATACCCGTAGTCTGCTGTCAGCCTTTTCACCAATGCCTCAATGTCTTTCTTGGGTTAAACAGCGACTTGGGACTTGTGGCGTATCCAGCCTAGCCTCGAACATATTGTCATCCACCAACCTCAAAGCGCTACAGTGACCACCGAAGGATCGAATGGCTGTTAATAAATTGCTCATATAGCCAAGAACAAAAAAGACTAGACTCGAAGTATCCACAGACGTTAGTGCAACAGCTGGTTGGCTTGGTATTGCTCGGCTATGCCGCGTTATTCGTTGTATCCGTTCCGACAACCTAGACTACTTGCGTATACCACCCGGGTTATCAGACACATATCACCTCATTCCATAATGCATTGGAAGCTCTGTCGTGACCCCCTTTCCTCGTCGAAAGCATCTCATCCTTCATACTATCGCAGCAACTATCTGCAAAATGGCACGTAACATACCCGACCATCCGCCCAAAACGCAACATCTTCCCATGCTGCGACCACTAGGTATGCAAACCCCAATTCTAGTCCTTACCCTTCACACGAACTTACCACCCCACAGGTAAATCCGAACAACTCTCCGCCGTATCCCACGCTCTTGGCTTCTTCAAGAATGTCGGCATGTCCGCCCACTACACCCTGTCTTCTTCTACTACTACTACCCAACCACCTGATCTACAAAGCGTGGTGTATGCGGCGTTGGCGGATGTCGTGAGCAAGCATCCCATTTTATCCGCTATTCCAATAAACGAAGCGTCGCCGGAGGCGTACTTTGCGCGATTAGAGGTAATCGATCTGACGAAGTGCGTGTTCTGGAAGACGCGGACTGGCTCTGCGGCTCGTGGGGAAGAGGATGGGGAACTTGATGCAATTCTCGAAGGGCAGCATAATGTCGGGTTTAAATCCGATAATGGTGATTTGCCATTCTGGCGGTTGGTTATACTTCAAGATGCTGGGGCGGAGCTCAGCTTCACTGCATCGTTCATGTTTCACCACAGCCTTGGCGACGGCGCGACAGGGTCAATATTCCACACGTCTTTCTTGCAGGGTCTAAACACCGCTATTGCTCTTCCATCTGCTGTCACCTACAACAACACGCGGATAATCGTCGACCCCGCCATCCACCTTCTCTCACCCCTAGAGCACCTCCATCCCCTCCCTCTCAACCCTCATCCCCGCTCCCACCGAAAAGCCAGCGACTCAGAGCTGGAAGAATGGTTCGGAACCCCCATTTACACACCCCTGAAGACACATTACAAAACACTCTACTTCGCCCCCGCAACCACCGCAACCTTCGCGAGGAAATGCAAAGAAAACGGCGTTTCGGCGACATCCGGTCTCACCGCTGTGCTAGCACGCGCTCTGTTCTCCGCTTTGCCAGACACTGTGGAAGCGCTGACGGGGATTATACCGATTAATCTACGGCCGTGGCTTGATTTGCCTGCGACGGAGGTGGACGTGGCGATGGGGAGTTTTATTGATGCGATGAAAGTGCAGGTGAGGCGTGAGCAGTACGGGGAAAGCGGTGGTGATGGGAAAAGCGAGATGAGCGGTCTGCGAGCTGCGCAACATGCGTCGAAAGAGATCAAGAGGTATCTCGCCAACGCCTCACCAACCTGTGAGCCATATACGTCCATCGCGCCTTTCAAACTCATCCCCGATGTCGCTGCGGTGTTTACATCTCTGCTTGGTACGACTCGCGATGCTGCGTTTGAGATATCGAATTTGGGCCGCTTTCACGACCCCTCTGCTGATCATCTTCGTCGTGGCGACGATGATGCCGCGCACTGGCGGATTGGTAAAATGGTGTTTAGTCGCAGTGCCGTTGTGTTTGGCGCGGCGGTTACGACGAGTGTTGTTACGGGGGCGGATGGGGGGTTGAGTGTGGGGTTTTGTTGGCAGGATGGTGTTGTGGAGAGTAGTTTGGTTGAGCAGGTCATGAATGGATGTAGGGAGGGGGTTGATTGCTGTGGGTTTTGATCGGAGTAGGAGGTAGAGCAGTGGTGGAGGGGTGTGTGTGCGGATGAACTGCTGGGTCATTAGGAGGAATGAGGCTGGCGTGGGCTGGTAATACGCTTGACTGTGTTTAATACATCATGCCTGCATCGTGTTCAACACCTCTTTGTGCAAGACTACCGCACTGCATGATCGAGACTTCTGTCATCGCAGTATGAACTCCTCTACCCGATCTTGGTTCGCCTTGACATAAGCACCCAATCCAGACACATGCTGAAGACCTGTCGCAAAGAGGAAGCAATCGCCACTGACAAGCTTCCATCTTCCATTGGGATGCTGTCTAAGAAGACACGGTGCCACAGCACCTTTGATTATACAGACTGCATCCCCAAACTGTGCGTCTTCAGGTACGGTCGCAAGCTCGCCGTTACTTAACAGGCTAATTTTGCAAAGCTGAAGAGCTTGATAAAAGAGTTCCATCTCTTCCCAAAGGTAGATCGGTTTGCCCTGATCGGAATGAGATGTTTGCATAAAGTAGATGAGGGAAGACTTACGTAGGTACCACATGCTCGAGTCAGGGAGTAATGCAGATCTATCCCCTTCATGCGAGATAAGACTATGCGCTCATTAATTCCCAGGATTCTCTAGACAAGTTGCGCGCTTACTAGAGAAGATCTTTCGACCAAACTGGCTGAGTGTGAATGAGGTAGCATTTCCACGGTTCCCTTTCGCATCCCGATATACTCTGGTATTGTGCAGATCGTGATATACATTGAGCATCTGTTGCTCGGCGTCATCGTTATCCAGAAAGTGAAATGTCCGGCTCGACTTGACGATCTGCGCATAATGACATCCTGCGACATGTAGTTCCGGGCGTGTAGGGGAACCTTTCAACGAATAGGATTCTAGCGTGCGTTTACGATCTTCAGCAGTAGGGCGGAGTGATGGATTGCCCAACATTCTTGCTTTGTCTGATTCGCAATGAGAAGCAAGAGACTGGAGTGGTAAGGTTTGAGACCAGTCTGGCATCCATGAGGGTATATCCAGTGTGTGTGAGTGGCGGATGGCGGCGAGTATTCGAGTTCCTAGCACTGGCAAAAGGTACTCAGCGACTCGCGTAAACAACGTTTCTACACTTTGTGTATAGTCGATGAAATCGTCAATGTCCGATTGCATAGAGCCGAGTAGAGATTTCAGAGCAAAGACCTTGTCTCTGGGGTTGCTCGCTAGACATTCCCTGCTCATGTACAGGCGATTCCACAGATTGAATTGTGGCGTCGAGTACTCTACTTGACTCGTCCACAATAATTCCAGAGGGCGTGGCAGAACACCACGTGTTGTCTTTCGTGTTGACCTAATTGCGTCAGGACCATTTGATGGACCTCCGTAGCAGAGGTGCCTTAAGATGTCCAGTGGTATGATTGCTGAACCGTAGACGACTTTGATATCATTTTTCTTGTACACTTCTTGAAGGACCCAGGTTCTCTTGAACCATGGCTCTTCGAACACTGTTTCAATCTGCTTAATAATAGCTTTGCTCGGTGGAGGTCGTGGCATTACGCCGTGGTCACGTTTCAGAAAATTGGCGACTTTCCCTGATTCATCCAGCAAGAGGCGACAGTCTGGGACCTGATCGCTGAGCATGACCATAATACCCAACGCGCGATTGTAAATTTCGTTCATTATACGGACCTGGCGAGATCTTTCCTGGAGGTCCGCCTGGTTTATGCAGACAGCATCAATCCAGACTGGTCGGTGTTTCTGTGCCGTGCGTAATCGACGAAGAGCAGCATGACAGTTGTTTCCCACATGTAATCTTTCTTGGCCATCATTGAAGTAGATTGTTGTTGTTTTCTGACTACTATCGCCCCAGGTGTAAGACACGGCTTCATATTTGAGCGAGGGGTCGGAGAGTTGTTCATGGCGTATCGTGCAGGCGATGGGGTCTAGCGCGTTTGGACTTGGATGCAGGATCAGGATGCGAATGGAGTCGCTCTCTTGTAATGGTCGGTATGGGTAAGAGGACATTTCCAAGGCACGGAAGCCTTACCGGTACTCATGAGCAAAGACAGCTGAGCGGTGGTACCTGCAGAGATTACTCGGGCAGGCAGCAGTTTCGCTTGCTGTGCATGGGTCGTTACTGTATGCAGCAGGTGGGGTATCATGCTGATTTCCAGCTAATCGTAGCTGAGTCTGGCATCAGCACCTGGAGAATCATCAGGAGCCGACAGGGAAAATCGCTATCTTCATGCGTGGAACTAGTGTTGTGTTCAAGAATGGCATCGAGCTCGGTGGTGGTCTTATTGCCGGCTGTCAGCGGAGCCAGACTAGGGTTGGAAGGACGAGTGCATGGCTTTGATCTTCGCGGCACCTTCACCCTGAAGAATCATTGCGTCAATTGAAATAGTTAGCGTCGCAAAGGAGCGCATGGCATCTGTCTTCAACTTGGCGCAGTGGTGATGTGCCATGGTTCACGCGAGGTGACAGACGCCGCCGCTGCATGGCAAATCGCGCTTTGCTGTTTAAGGGCTAGCTTCACAATCCCTGCTTCCGCGGCTCCTGCGTCATCGGCCATCACCAAATTTTGGGGCAGGCCCAACAGCGCGTGTGATCAACACTGACGAACATTACGAACACCCCGCGCAGCACTTCAGGTGTTACTCACTCGCATAGGAAACCCAATCTTTACTCGCATCTTTGTTTAAACCCAACCTTCACCCACTTGAAGAGCGTCCCAAAGCAAACATGGCGACGCACGAGCAGTACATACTGCACGTCACAGCGGGCGCAACCTACGACACATCAAAACACTCAGACGTCCTAGTCAACAGCGAAAAGCCCGTCGACATATCCTCCGACTTGATCGACGTGCGCGTACACATGCGCATCAAAGACTACCGCGGTACGCCTCCCCCTCCGGCCCCTCCATCACGCTGCCCCTCCAACGCTCCAGGCACTAACAAAGCCCAGGCCTACCAGAAGGCTCCCCAAAGACCTCACCCTACTTCTCCACACCCCAACATGCCTACGATCGCTACTCGATATCCTTCTCCTTCACACCCAAACAAGACATCGCCGGCGACAAGCTCGTCTTCGGAAACGACTTCGACCACCCGATTCGCGACCGGTTACCGCCGCTGTTCGACAAGGCGTTTGGGGTAGTCAGGTGGTGGATTGATCCGGGTCTAGACGGCGATGTCTACGCAGATGAGCCATACCTCTATGGCGCGCTGCTTTCCTCGATAAACGTCCTGCGCATTAGTAGCAAGAAGGACGCGGACAAGCCAGCCAAGAGCGACCTGGAAGGCGAGGCACAAACAGAAGGAGACGTGGAAGTGCCTGGCTCAGACGGCGAGGCCGTTGTATACGAAGAAGGCGCAGATGGTGACGGTGTGGAAGTCAGGAAGAGCAAACACGTGCCCGACAGAGCCAGCGCAAGACAAAAGTTCTTCCTCACGGAGCAGAACAGGAAGGACTTTCTGTTCGAGGCCGGCAGGGAATACAAGTGCGATTTCTTCAACCCGTATCTCGACTTCAATGAGTTTGCGCTGAAGATCGGGTATGGGTTGCCGACTATAAGTATGATTGGGCATTGGGATGGACAGCCGTTGCGGTAAGTACACTTTTCTTCATCTCCTGTATCCCCCGTTGTCATCATCACAACCACCGCAACCACCACCGCCACTTCCACATTTCATTGGACCTCGGGATACGGAGCTGACTTGATTGCATTCACTAATCAGACCGCACACCCTTAGATATGTGCTCAAGAACCGGGAAACCAACCAGGAGCTCTTTGTCGTGGTTATAGAACTACTGCCGACTGAGCAAGCGAAGAAAGAGGGCGCGGAAGATCCGAGAGAGAAGTTTGAGGAGGTTCATGGCGGGGGGAAGAAGGAGGATAAGAATAGTGACCTTGATTAGGGGATCGGGTCTTGGTATCCGCAGTTTGTTTGGTGATGGGGGGTTGATTGGGGATGGGGCATTGGATTGGGGGTAACAGCATGGCGTTTGGGGGGTATGGGTAATGTGGGATGGAATGGGTAATGTGGGATGGAATGGAATGGGATGGGATGGGGCTATTGTTAGGGATGACATAGAATCGCGCTCGATATGAGCAGCAAATGCAGCAGTCAATGTAACTTTGACGATACTTTCCACTCATGGCAATCTCCGTTCTCCCCCGCGGGGACACAACGTGGGCGCCGCCGGTAAAGAGAAGCTCGGACCTCCGAACTTCGGCGGCAGCTGCAGCAACACCAAAAATTCCCATCGCGAAAGTTGTCACTCCCGCATCACATCCCCAACATGGCCGCACGCACTTTGAGGATAGGTAAGACGCCCAATTGCATTCATACATGCCAAAAACATCTCAAGCTACCATCATCGACTAACACCCCTAGGCCTCATCCCCGGCGACGGCATCGGCCGCGAAGTCATCCCCGCCGGCCGCCGCATCCTCGAAGCCCTGCCCTCATCCTTCAACCTAAAATTCTCCTTCACGCACCACGAAGCCGGATGGTCCACCTTCCAAAAGACCGGCGCCGCCCTCCCCGACGACACCGTCTCAGCCCTAAAGTCCGACTGCGATGGCGCCTTGTTCGGAGCCGTCAGCTCGCCCACCGTGCAAACCAAGGGCTATTCGAGTCCGATTGTGGCGTTGAGGAAGAAGATGAAGCTTTATGCGAATGTAAGGCCGGTTAAGAGCGTTAGGGGAGGGTTGAAGGAGGTGGATATGGTGATTGTGAGGGAGAATACTGAGGATCTTTATGTTAAGGAGGAGAAGACGTATGCTGCGCCTGATGGAAGCAAGATTGCTGAAGCGATCAAGCGCATCTCCGAAACCGCGAGTTTCAATATTGCGGAAATGGCGGGCGATATCGCACTCCGCCGACAACGCGTCCGCGACGCTGGCGCAAAGTCTATTCACTCCAGCCCGCTCGTCACCATCACGCACAAGTCGAACGTTCTTTCGCAAACAGACGGCCTCTTCCGCGAGACCGCCCGCCGCGCGCTGCAGAACAGGAAGTATGGGGGTGTGAATGTGGAGGAACAGATTGTGGATTCAATGGTGTACAAGCTGTTTCGCCAACCACAGGACTACGACGTCATCGTTGCGCCCAACCTCTACGGCGACATCCTGTCCGACGGCGCCGCCGCACTCGTTGGATCGCTCGGTCTCGTCCCGTCTGCCAACGTGGGTAAGGACTTTGTTATCGGTGAACCGTGCCACGGTTCCGCACCCGACATCGAGGGCCAGGGCATTGCGAACCCGATCGCGACGATTAGGAGCACGGCGTTGATGTTGGAGTTTATTGGCGAGGAGGAGGCTGCGGCGAGGATTTATGAGGCTGTTGATGCGAATCTTGAGGAGGCGAGGCTGCTCAGCCCTGACATGGGCGGTAAGGCGAAGACGGAGGAGATTATCGAGGATATTTGCAAGAGGTTGTAGAAGGGTTGGTAGTAGTGTCTGTCGGAAGACCGCTTTATAGCGTAGCTGCGATGCAAGTAGTGCTGGCTGAACCGACCGTAGAAGCAGTGTGAGATGTGTTGTATGGACTTTGTGGAGAGAGATGATGTATATTTCAAGGACGATATCCCGTTCGTTCTACCAACTCCATCATCCTAGCGCCAGAGACCATCTCACGCGGTATCACACCCTCGTAAAAGCATCAACATCCACCCTCTGATAAAAGCTCACATGCCCAAACGTCTCCCAATACTGCGCCAGCCGATCATGGCTGATGAGGATGAGCTGGCTTGTCATGTAGTTATCTGCCCTTCAAGTTAGTATCCATTTTTCCTCGATCCAACCATCATGTCTTCTAAACTACCAACGGAAAAGAAAGCAAAAGATAACATACCATCTCTAAACCCCGTGGCAGCAATATGCCCCACGCTCCTCACGATCCTCGCTCCTTTAAAAATCTCCTCCTTCGCAACGCGGATCAAGCCATTCGGACCAATATCCGGTGCTATGAACGTGTATTCGCCGCGAGGAATGTTGGGGTCGCCGGTGAGTTTGACGGCTTCGATGCGGCCTTTGTATACACTCTCGTCTTCCTCCGACCTGTGTTTACTGTCGTTTGATGTTTCCCCTGAGGCGAAGATGTAGTTGTGGTAAGCAGACTGTAAAGTAGCAACACTATCCTCCAGATCATCCGCGTTCTCCATCGCCGGCCCACCAACCTCAACACCCCCATCAACAGACCCCTCCTCGTCAGCAGAAGAACCCACCGCATCCGTCGGCGCCGTCGTCCAACTCCCCCCACTACTAACACTCTCCTCGCGCTCCCTCGCCCGCATAGCCCACAGCGCGCGTTCAGGAAGCGGTTTCGCATCCCGCTCATCCGGCTGCATAATCGCCAGGAACTCGCAGCCGTGGCCAGCGTAGTCGCCGCACCAGATGCCCTGCCATGGTTTCTGGGGCGTGGGCGTGTAGCACGCTTCTGGTAGGGTTGCCCATGTCGTCACGTCCTCGCCGATACGCATGCCCATACCCAGGACGCGCGTGGAAAACTCCATCCAGCGGCGGATCCGGAATGTGGAGTCAGAGAGCTGGGAGAGCGTCGCGGGTTTCTGGCCGGGCTGCCGGTAGCCAGAGGGGGAGTGGTCGTTGCGCGTGCGGTCTGCGCTGGGGAGTGTGAGGGGCGGCCAGACGGGCGTGGCGTCTGTTGTTATAGCTGAGGGCCAGGGGCGGGTGAGCATGAGTTGGGAGAAGAGGGAGGCGGCTTGTTGTTGGCGGTCGCGGTAGAGAGACATGCGGATTTCTTTCTGGAGGCGATATCCTATATTCCCGACAGCTTCTTCGTAGGCATCGCGATTTAGGCGCACAATGGGCGCGTTGAGGTCGAGGCGCACGTTGGGGCTGAAGGTGTGGATTATGGCTTCGGGGTGCTGGTCCCAGGATAGAGCCACCGGTGATCGTCGTTCGGCAACGAGGGCATAGGCTTCGATTGCGTTGAGCCTGTGGTCGTAGCGCGCGATGAGGAGTTTGCCTGTGTGGGCTGTGTCGGCGAACCAGATCTTGCGGCGCGCGATGAACCAGTATGGGTGGTGTTCTTGGTATAGTTCTCGCCATGTGAGGCGCGCGGGTTTCGTGACGTTGGGTACTTCTGCTTCTACGAAGGCCTGCCAGAGCGTGTCTTGGAATGTGTGGGTGCGCAGGACTTTGCTGACCATGCCCACGGTGAGGAGGTCTGATAGGGTGAGGTAGCTGAGCACATGATGGAGTAGTTCTGAAGGGAGGTTCAGCAGCGGCGGGATGGGCGTTTGCGATGCAGGGCTTTCTATCTCGCGAATCCGTAGCTCCATGGTGTCGATTGATGGTGTTGAGCTCCTTGAAATTGTATGCAGCCTCTTATTAGGAATCGATCGACCGTTGAAGTACCTTAGCTGCGGTGGCGAAAAGCTTAAGTAGCAACCACGTCCGTCCCTCTTACCTCTCTTATGCAACCCGCACCGAAAGGAGGAGTAAATCAGTGAATCGTCTGCCCCAAGACCTTAATATAACGCCTCAATCGTCGGTCCTGCAGGGCGCTCTTCCACCCGATCCCACCGTCTCGGCAACGTTCCGTGGTGACACCTTCCCACCTTCGCCTAGCCTTAACAAGTCCGGGGTAGATTGGCGTGATCAAGCAGCGAATACGAGCGCTATGCAAGATCAAAGAAGATCAAAGCACTAACTCGCGTATCTTGGACGCGCTCAGTACCTGCTCTTTTAGGCGTTTGGTGTTTGATGTTGCTTTGCGGTGATGACGAGGTTGCGATATCGGAAGATGCGCTGCAAGGGTGAGGCGGCTCGGGAATGTCACGGGTGCGACGGCAGATGGGTGAGGAGGAGGTTGATGTACAATGTAGAGGTTTGCCGCTGACAAAGGGAGAGGAAGTGGGCGAATGCAAGGAGATAGGTGCTTGTCGTCGCCACGCAGGCGTGATAGGTGCGTATCGGTCACGATATCGCAGTACGTCACCGTCCGTGCGTGCGCTGCCGCATAGATGGCTTTTGTGGGGTACCTTGAACTTGACTTCTGCCACCACATTTTGAGGCAGACATCACATTTTTAGAGTACGCACGTCGCGACATCTTGCAGCGAGGAGGTATTTAGTGAGTATGGGGTGAGTCTCTGCGCTGACATAGAGTGACTTCACGACGACATACCACTATGCGCTCGGAGATGTGAGGATACAAATGACGGTTTGAGGCATACACCATCGTCGGGAAACATCATTCATTCAGGCGGATTTCAAGCCAAGCGACGACATCAACCACTACATACTTCCACCCACCAACCCCCCAAACCACCCCACCGCCTACAAGTCCTTGAACTTGCCCTTCCAGGCCGCCTTCCCCGGGCTCCTCTTCACCACGCCCACCGGCCCCTTCCCCATCTCCCCCTCCCTCCTCTTCTGCTCGAAAGCCGCCTTCCTCCTCCTCTCCCTCTCCTCCTTCTTCTCCGCCAACCCCACTACAGTCTTCTTCATGGCCGAAGCCCGATCTGCTTTGCGAAGCAAAGTCTCTTCAGCCGCCTTGTTCTTCTTCAGCTCTTCCTCGAGGAACTGACGGCGGCGGCGGAGCTCCACGAGTTGCTCTTGGATGCCCTCGGCGGACTCGTGGTGGGCGGTCTTGGCGGCGGCGGCGACGACGTTGGTCTTGGTAGCGTCGGCGGCGGCACGACGGCTCCTGACCTCGTCGAGGAGGCGGGCGTCGGCGGCTTCCTTGGCTCCGGCTCCGTACATGCGGATGGGCGGCGTTGCGTACATGATCGCGATTTGGCTTGGTCGCTGATGTAGTGTGGGTGTGTGGTGGTGGTGAAGTAGTAGTATGGTATGACTTGTGTTGAATTCTAGTCTTGAATATAGTATGATGGTGGTATGGTAGTGCTTGAAAAGTAATTGTGGATGTGAGATGGATAGAAAGAGCTAGGGAACAGAAGAGTTGGAGACGAAAGGACCTCTTATATAGTAAGGACTTCTTGGTTGGGACGACGTCTATTCTGCCGGCATTACAATAGCAAGGACTGCGAAAGTGAAGGTGAGCATGCAAATTTTCGCTGACGACTGGTTTCTATAGGGCACAATAGCAGTCGATACGTGGGAAAAGATGAGGCTGGGTGAGGTGAAAGGGCGTGTGGACCAATGACACCTCTTCGAATTGATTTGGAAGTGAGCGCGACTTTGGCTGCGGGCTTTCTACTGGCTGCGAACTTCAAAATATCGACCGCTAGATCAGTCTGCGCCACCGCAAGACGTTTCAGGTACCTCGAGTGCTATTGTCGACCCGATCACGTTGTTTTAATCGCGCACGTGTGTGCGCCGCGAACCATGTGAACAGCCAGCTCAAACATCGCGTGCTGGGACAAGAACCTTGGTTGGAGCGTGAACACGAGGATGGCATTCGCGTAAACGTCTCGGTCTGTGATAGCAATATGCTCCCTCAACCACCAAGCTCGAGACGCGACGATTCCGGCGTGACAGCAACGTCATCATCCATATCCCCACTCACTGCACACCTCCACGCGCTCCCCTCCGATCCGCCTCCCTTTCCTTCTCCCTTTCTTCCTGCCAGGCCCTGCTTGCCTGCAACCAATCCTCTGGATCCCCCGGCATCACCAAATCTCCATCAAAACCCTCCATCTTCTCCAAAGTGAAATCCGTCGTAGGCCGTTGCATCCACTCAGGAAGCGGTCCACTGGTTACGAAGTCCTCGACATCTTCTATGAACCAGGCTTCTGGGTAACTCAGGTCGGCTAGTGTATCTTCGTCCTTAGGCGGTTGCAGGAAGGGGTCGTCTTGTTGTGCTCCTGTGGGCTCTTCCTCAAAGGCGCGCTGCGTCATTGCAGCGAGATCCATTTTGCCGAAGTTGGGTGGTAGGTCGGGCATGAAGTCTGGGCGCCATTCGTTCCTGTCGGGGCTGTCGGGGCTGGAGGAGAAGAGGTAGTCGTTTACGTTACCGAAGTCGATGGGGTGGCTGTGAGAGGCGGGGATGGGAGTGTCGGAGAAGAGGTAGTCTAGTTCGTGGCCTTCGTTTTCATTTGACACCGCGAGAGCCGCAATCTCGTCGGTAGTTTCAGCTTGGCCTTGAGAAGCGTCCTTCGAGTTGGTACGCGCAGTCTCCTCGGCCTCCTTCCGCGCAACTTCCTCAACCTTTCTCAGCGCAACTTCCTCAGCTTCCACTCGCAATGCCGTCGCCAGTCTTCGCACACAGCCACCCATGTTGCTGTTCACATCCTCCCTGGTGATCTTCACTCCACCAAGCACAATAGGCTCATTGTCCTTGATCTGCTGTTGCAGCATGCGCGCCGCTGCTGGTTCGTAGTCTACACCACGGTTTGGTGCCACAGGCGACGCAGCTGCCAGGGTGGAAGACTTGTCTGGCGAGAGTGTGTGAGTGGTGGATGACATCCTGGGTGTGAGGGTGGATGCGGAAGTGTGCTTTGGCGCTGTGCTTGGGCTTGTAGCCGTCTGGGTCGACGCTGGATGTGTTTTGGCCGCATGGTTTGTCGTCGCACCTGATGATGGCAGCTGGACTCCAGCTTGCTGCTGTCTAGCATTTTGAACCTGCGGCGGAGCTTGCTGTTCCTGTTGGCGGTCCCCTCGCCCTCGACCCGTGGAGTGCGGTGTGGTCAGATCGTTACTACGATGGTCCGATTGCGCAGAGGCGACTGGCGGCAGTGTCTGACGCGGCGGTGTTGCATATTGCGCCAAATGGTGAGCAAATGAGGGGGCTGTTACAGATGCGATCGCAGTATGCTCCTGCGCCCTGCGCTGAGGAGAGAAGCTAGCAAGTTCCTGCTGTCGATGTGGTCCATTTGGAGGCAATCCGTTGTAGCCAAATGCAGGTTCTCCGGCTTGACGCTTTGCTGCTGGAGCGGGACTTGTTGATATGGCCAAGGGAGTGAGAGATTGTGTTGGCGAGTTGAGGAAGGTGTGTTGGGCTTGAAGTTGCGGGTAAGACACTGGATGAGCTGGTGAACTCGGTATACTGCCCGGGTTAACTGGCTGTTGAACTGGCTGCTGCTGTGGGGACTGATGCTGGAACTGCCTCGATACTGCATGTGCGTGGGTAGCCTGTTGCAACGGGGACATCTGCTGAGTCGGTGACGCGGATGGAACAAATGTCTGTGGCGCATATCCCTGCGGACTAGCATGACGGGCAGCTTCGACCGGAGTCCTCCGAGCAGGCAACGCCGCAGGAAGAGGAAATGGCGTCCCTGAGGGAGGAGGAACTGGCGACACAGCCATCCCCCCTCCCCCCTTCCTCCCCTGCAAACCCCCCAACAGCCTCAACACCCCATCCCACCTCTCCACCTCCCCCCCATACTCCCCCTTATACTTCTTATTCCAATCCCCCCACGTCTTATGCGCAACATGCAACTCCCCTTTCAACACCATCTCCTCAACCCGCGTCTTCCACGCCCGGATCTGCTTGCCAATAGCATGTTTCTTGTTCTTCTGTGTAAGCCCCTCGCGGCAACACTTGTGGTGACTCCCCTCAGGATGTAGGCACTTGTAAAGTCCATCAGGCCTCTTTGTACAGTTCGCGAGTGAGTCTTCGGTGGGATATTCGGGGACTTCGGCTTTGTCTAGGGGATGCACGCGACGGTCTGGTTTGGCGTCGCCCCATTGCCGTCTAATATCCAGAATCTCTGCGGGCGAATCCATTCCGGGGGTTTGTGTGATGGCGACGGGGGTAGGCGGCGATGTCGTGGCTGTTGACTTGCGTCTTACGTCGCGACAGCCATTCGTTTCCCAAGCGTGCAGCTTCTCGTACCAACGTGCTTTGGGGTGGGTTTGCTGCGCTTTGCACCAGGCTTCGATTGCGGGCTTGTTGTCGTTGTAGCGCTGCTCTTGCGATGTGGTGATGGAGTCGTTGCGGGCGCGCTTTGCTTGCGCTTCTTGCTCTTCGTCTTCTGACCGCGGGCGCTTCTGCGCTGGGTGAACCATGGGTGGTTGGATAGAGCTAGGCGTATACGGACTCAGTACAGGTGGTGTGCTCGTCGAGAACGCGATGTGAGGCGACGACGTATCGCTACTTGTCGGCGTTCTCGCGATCGGTGGAGGCATCGTGTACGTCTGGGCTCCTCGTGGAGTTGCGCTTTGTGATCGGTGGCTGGGTCGTAGATGCCGAGCGGATGGTTTCCCCGTGCTTGTGGGTAGTTGCCTGGGGCGAGGTGAAGAATAGTTAATCCGCTTTAGAAGCATTGTTCCTGCTCAATAGGAACCAATTGAACCTTGGAAGAGTGAATGGTCATGTGCATTTCACTGATGACGTAGTGCGACTCCAAAGTCAGAACTGTGGTTGAGCATGCGAGGTCCCTTAGTTCGACGAACTTCATAATTTGGAGAACCATGTTACGCGAGGGGACCACAACGAAGTCGGAATATGTTGTTACGATATTTACGGAAGCTGTTAAGGTAGACATGTATGTAGAGAATCAAAGATAGAGGCGAAGCAGGACGTATTGCAGGATACATGCACGAAAGGATGTATAGATGAGAGCAACGTGATTATATCGTAACCAGCAAAGCTACATATCCCTCCTCGCAAAGCCACGCGAACGACACCTGTCACTCCCAAACCCCAACTCCACTCCTCCTCCAACCCCCCATCAACCTACTCATCCTCCTCATCCCTCGCCCTCGCCCTCGCCTCCCTCTTCTCCCTCCTCCTCCTCGCCGCCTCATCCTTCCTCGCCTGCCTAACCTCATCCTCCTTCTGCTTAACCATGACGCCCATCCTCTCCAGACTCTGCTCATCCGTCAACTTCTCATACTTGACCTTAACCGCCTTAACCACCTCCTCCCCCGTCTTCCAATGCGGCCCCATAATCTTCTCCACAAACGTCCACTCTGGGTACTTGATCGATTTGTCGACGATATCCGCAATGGCCACCATCATGCTACCCGTGTTGATGTATTTGTGTGAAGCGGGAATGACGAACCAGGTGATGTGTTCATCGTCCGAGTCGACCCATTTCTGCAGCGCATGGGCAGGAGCCTTGATCTGGGAGGGGTCGATTTCGCGCTTGGTTTCTGCCCAGTCAAACTTGGTCATCGCACCGCCGACGTCGCGGTTCGTCGCGTTGTTGGCGAGCATGGCGGGGGCGACGTGGCGGACGTGTCGTGCGGCGAGCTGGTTGACTTCGTCGCGGCGCTCGCGGCCGGTTGGGACGTAGCGTGGTGTGGGGATTGAGCGCTGCTTTCTCATGGTGTCAAGGAACTTGTTCGCGTTATTGGTCGATGGCTTCAATGACGCGGCGGTGGCGATGGTGCGGAATCGTCGAGTGGCTTCGGTTTCTTTGCCGTTGTTCTTGTTCTCTGCCTCTTCATCGGCACTTCTGGCCTTCTTGGACAGCGGAGAGTCGTCAGAGTCGTCGGAGGCGTCGTCGTCGGTGGTAGCAGAATCGCGTTTGCGCTTCTGAGGAACAGCGATATGGCCTTCGTCGGGAGAAGAAATGGGTGAAGATATAGGCTGCGAAACTTGGTCAGCAGCGCTGATGGAAGCAAGCGCAGATTGACTCACGAGAGGCGGTGGGTTGAGGCCCCAGGTAGTCTCGTCCTCAAATAGATCATCTAGATCATCGTCGTTGCTGCTGTCGGAGGCGTTGGAATACCGGCGGCGAGGCGTCATTGGCGCGACTTCGTCCAGCGAAGTTGGGCGCGAACGCGGAGCATCCACACTGACGGCGGCGGTAGGTACGATGGGGGTAGATGACGACATTTCCGGAAGCTGCGGTGTGGTTATGTTGAAAGATAGATGGGCAATAAGGCTCCGATATAGTGCGTATGGATATTGCGATATCGTAGGCTGAACTGAGGAGATAAGAGTTGAGGAGACGGCGGTGATGAGAAGCAGACGTATAGGTTCAAACCAGGCTCAAGCTTTATTGAGTGGAAAAGACCGCTATTGTGGCGGACAAGTCTACGGTATCAGCGTGCGAAAGTGAATGCGACGGGCCGAGTTGTTCAGGAACAATAGCATTGGATGACGCAATGTCTGTGCAGTGACTGGATTATAGTGGAAGTGAAAGGAGGTCTTCGACCTAAGCACTGTCGCATCACAGCGCAACATAACGAGGACGCAAGGAGAATACATGTGAAGATGGTGAAATGTGTTGATATAGTAGTCTCAACCTGCCCGAGCGACGTGTTGAGGTGACGCCCCCTCCCCCAATGACAAAGACTTCAGATCGAAGTGACGTTTGCTACCAAACCATTCCTTCCCAATTGCGCTCTCCGATTAATAGTAAAATAACGCCGTCCTGCCTACCATGACGTATCCAATTGCACCATGCACTGCCGCCTCACTCCGGTACTCGCTGTTGGCGTGGAAACTTGTCGCAAGGTATGAGTTCGGTAGCGACGAATGGACTGTGTGGACGACAGCGACGTTGGAGATTTCTCTCGCTATGGTGAATTCACTGGATATGACGCCACGCATCTGCTCCAGCTGCGTCAACTGCTCCAGCTGCGTCGACTGCCTCGGGCTTGTGTGACCCCCTTGGTTTCGTGCGTCCGGCAACGACGGTTGGTATACTGGCGATGTAGAAGATTCTCCTTGTGATGCATCGGAGTATATCGGGACCGTCGGGGAATACAGTGGCCTCGACTGGGCGTATAGTGGCCATGTGGGAGGTAATCGCGGAGAGGGAGGAGAGTATCTTGGTGACGTGGGCGATTCTCCCAGCGATGCGTCGGAGTACATTGAGAACGTTGGAGAGTATGCTGGCGATGCGCTTCCAAAGTCTGCGAAAGTCGGGACTTGCAGCGACAAATTCGGATTGAAGTTCATGTCCAATGACGTCGCAATATCCTCGCCGTTTTCATCAGAAAAGTGTGTCGGTTCAGTCATGTCGTCAAAGGCGGGGAGACCTTCGACCGAAACTCCCATGGACGCGAAACAGAGGCGCTCAGCTTCTCTTGCTGCCGCATAAGGACCCAATTCTGATAGCCGACTCTCAGCGTCTTGGATTGCCTGCGCTTCCTGCATGGCTTGGATCTCATGGGCCGTCATTGGCGTGTACTGGTACATCGACTCCCGACACGAAGGGCATTTGTCGCGGGGTGAGCCCCAGGTCTCCGTCCACTGGATGATGCACTTGCGATGGAAGACGTGCGAACAGCTTTTGACGGCGACCATGTCATATGATGCGTCGTTGAAGTCCTCTTGGCAAACAACGCAGATACCGATGTCTGCGAACTTGGGGGCGCCTGGGAGAATGCGACAAGGCGCCAAATGGTCGCGATAGAACTCGGTGCGGGTAGGTAAAGCCATGATGCGGGTTGGTGGACGTGAGTCTTTTGGTATTGAGTGTAGTTGTAGGTAGTGAAGAGGAAGCAAGTTGGTGGACTGGGTCAGGGTCCGCTTGCGGAGAAACCAGGGTTGCCCGATTGGGTGACACTCGCCTTCACCGCAAGACGTAGTCGTGGTGTGGGGTTGACAATGCTTCAGCCATGAATAATAGGCGTATCCCGATTCATTTTCTTGGCCGCCAACAAGCAGGATGTTATTGGCGAGGCATCCGTTTCTCAGGCCGCTGGTTGGCCTAGTGTTTGGTCGCGAACCATGGATACGCACCATATATTCTCGCTCAGATCCCACAGACCCTCTGCGGAATTCCGTATAAAACGAGCCTTCAGCACACACTCCTTTCGAGATCAATACACCCCCTTTCAATCCGAAATCTAATTCGCCTTTCACGCCGCCGTTCACGCCGCCATCCAAGCCTCACTTGCAACTTCGCCGGTACTCAACATGGCCATCCCAACTCTCTACACATTTTACACTACCAGTCTCACTGCCTGCACACCGAAGAGAGGGTTCGCTCTACAGTGTCTTGATCCTGCTCTCTCGGACAACTGGGCAGAGGAGAAATGGGAAGCAATATATCTCATAGAACATTTGGTAAAGAGTACTGGCTTGACGGACATGCTTTACGAAGTCGTCGAGGAGCTGTTCGTGACATTTCGCAGTTTACGAGAAGATGCGACTGGAAGATTGTTAACAGGTCTTCCATGGGCCGACGTTTTCCAGCAAGCATTTCCTTTCTACAAAGTCCTACTACGTGGGGCCGCGCAATCTTCCGATACGAGCCAAAGGGGAAGGTCGCTCGAGGAAGAAATATTGTTGTATCCTGGCGGGCCAGGAGAATACATTGCAGTGCGCACGATCTTGAGGGCAATCGCGAAATCCAACAGGGAGAGAGGATGGGTCAATTCTGCTGTATTGGTTGTACTTGACCGATTTCGAAACTGGGAAGAGGAAGAGACGATGAGTATCGTCGAGGCTTATCGAGGGCTCGGATTCTTCGCGTTGGCAGACGAAGCGGTGAGGGGGCAGAAAGCGTGAGATAGGATGACTTCTGGGATGATGTATCCAGGATGATGTATCCAGGATGATGCGGGAAATGAGTTCTGGTTGAGGTCGGAGCCTTATGCGATCTGTTTGGGACCGTTGAGAACGTCGGCGGTTGACGTTGCGCTCCCAAAGTTAGCGAATCAATCCTGAGTATACCTACATTGGTTCAAGTCGACTAGTCGACTTCGCGCTGTAATGTTGAAAGCAATCGTGTGCTGAAACTTCTGTGCGCATTGTCTGAGCAAGACTTGAGACAGATGTCTCAGGAATGGAACGTGACTTTCTTCGCGAAGACATGGTCAAGCTAGCTGCGGGCTACAAGACAGCTTGTCAAGTAGCGCAGAAGACCGCTTCGACCGCATCTCAAGCATCATGGATGACAGCCGGTCAAGAGTAGCAAGCTGGCTAGGAGTACGAAGCTTATCGAACGTATCGAGCTTGTCGACGCGGTCGACCTCGACCTTAAGCATTATGGGCGATAGCCGTTCGCGAGTAGCAAGCTGGTTGAAATTACGAAGCTTATCAAACGTGTCGAGCTCATCGAGCCTATCGACGCAATCAACCTCAACCTCAACCACGTCCATCG